TGGCCGGCCAGATCGCCAGATCTGACGGCGCCAGACTTCTTTCTTTGGGGCTTTTTGAAATCTCGCGTTTACCGCAACAAACCACAAACCCTGCAACTCTTGAAAGCTAACATTAAAGAAGAAATCGCCAATTTGGAGCCTGATATTTTGCGAGCAACAATTTTAAATGCCGTAAAACGAGCACAAATGTGTATTAACTCAGGAGGGGGTCATTTGACCGATATAATTTTTTCAAGTTAATATAACAAATTTTACACTTTTAAATAAACGTTCCGTGAAAACAGAGCCCTATTTTTTTCATTTCTAACAAAATGGCAGCCAATTCACATTATGACATTATTTTTGCCCCACCTTGTACAAACTATAGTAGATTATGGTGTTACTGAAAAGAGCATATTTTTAGCTTTCCAATGATGTATTGCACCCATGGTGTGTTTGGGGAAAATAAGCGTTATTTTTTAATTCTAAAGTATTAAAGATTAATATTCAAAATTTTAATTCTAGTAGGCGAGGAAAACGTTAAATGCCACTTAGTTACTATAGTAACGTGAGTTTACTGATCATTTCATTCATGAATTTTTCGAAATCATCAAATATTTTTAAAATTCTTCAACGGCAGTATATTCTACTTAAAAAAGTGTCTTAAGAACGTATCAACCCCATNAAAATTTTCAGTTTTTGCCGATAGGGCGAAAACAAAAGACGATAGCTGTTCGGAGTTTTCGGCATTAGCATTTTCTCGAAAAACGAGATCATGACATGTAAGCTACTTTTTTTCTATCTCTTTTAGTTTCGGAGATGGCCTATGCGGACATCGAAAATGGGACACCTGTACATATTTATCATCTACATAAAAAAAATTTTAGCAAAAATGTAAAGGGGGTGGTTACGTTTAGTAGTTTAGAAGGGTAGGTTGAAAGTACAAATCCCCAAATTTCATTTTCCCAGCGTTTATGGTTTTTCAGAAAAAAGAATTAAACCAAAATTTTCCGCCATTTTTGGAGGGGTGTAGCTCCTTAGGGGAGCCGAAGTCGCCCATGGTTCATATATCAAACTACCCTTAAAATTCACTAAAGAATCACCTCTTGAAGTTTGTTGCAGTCATTCAGATACACCCTGTATAATTGCACCACCTTGTCCAAAAATAAAATAATTACTTAATCTAAAAGTTGCAGGTAGCGAAATTGAAGATAGACAATACGAATTAAAAATAGTTGGAATTTCTTTGAGTACGAGCACTTGGAGTGAGTTTGATCCGCTACTACATCAATCTTCATCGATGAAACAATTAAAAACGATGAGTGAAAATCCCGCTTTAGAATGGAATTTGGGTAAAGGAACGATTATGAAAGGTCAAAACGTTAATTTTGTGCCGATAATAAACAAATTTGATGTTTTAATAGTAACAGCACCCGCAATGATTTATAAAAACGAGGTTATTTGCGGCCATTCGATTGAGATAAATTTCGTTTCAAACATTGAGACGTTAATTTCGTTGAATCAAATCAAATTTTTTCTTGCATTAGAAAACGAAGTGAATGGGGTGTACGATTTATGCGTGGGTAACGCTGAAAGTAAAAGACCCAAAGTTTTTTTACCGTACAGTTGTTTTAATAAGATAATTGATACACCATCCACTGAAATCCAACAAATTGATTTGGGCAAAGACTCTGGAATTGAAACTAGAGAGTTTAGAAGTATCGCTTCGTTTAAATCAACAACGGAAATTGCTATAAATTTAAAACGGGTTTCCGCCGCTGAGAATATTTACACAAAACCTTGCGTTAAATATCCTTATGGGTATATCCCGTTAGATTTATTAATCACAGCGGGGAAAATTAATTTTATTTTGTATAATAACACTAACGATGCCCGAAAAGATTTACTTAATTACGATGGGAGAAAGGATTCCGAAAATTTTGAAGAATCTGAAGAGTATTTCCCTTATATTTTCGCTTCAATTTGCCAACCAAATATTTTTATGTCCGATTTACAATTAGGGCGTAAAATCCAAGGATCTTGTTATGATGTTAAATTAAAATTACCGGAAATTAAGCAATTAAAATCAATGCCGATTGAAAAAAATTTTAACACAAACTTAGTTGAGACAAGAACTGGATACCCAAATCCACATAACGGGGTATTACCCGCTTTTTTTACAGCTCGTTGGTCTAAAGGTGTGGGAAAGCCAAATTTAGAAATAGAGGTCGCAAAACCCGTGAAAATCGTTGCATCTGTTGCAATTTGCACCCATTTAATCAACGTTGTTAACGCAATAAATGAAACTTTGATTATCCCCGAAGAACCAATCGTTATAAAATCAATTAATACCCAGCAAAAAAGTCGATTGAAACAACAAAAAAGTGTTGATTACGTTAAATTCAAAGAGATCAAAGACAAATTATTGGGAGTGACCGTTTTTAACGTAAAATTATCCCAAGTCGTTTTTAACATAAAAACGGAAAACGATAACGAACTAACATTAACATTGGGGAAAATAAAGAATTATTTAACTATATCAAACCGCCCCGAACGGATCACAAATGTAACAACGTTAAATTCGATTTGTATCGGTGTCTCAACCGGGGATGTATCGCGATTATTACTAAATCCATGGACCATCTCGTTAGAAGTTTGCTTATTTTGGGAAAGTTGGCAAAGTGTCGATTCCGATCCGCAAATACAAATATCAGGTCAAAGCGATTGTATCGTAATAGACGTTAGTCCCGAACAACTTCAATGCATCGAATTTGTACAAAAAGAAATTGCGGAATTTATTGCTTCTTTGCCTTTACCGAAAAATAATCCCGTTGAAACTTACGATGAACCATTAAAACCAATTCCAAGCGATAAAGAACAACATTATAAAGATGATTTAAGAGCCGGAGCTTTTCATTTTGTCGATTCGACGAGTAATAATATCGATGAACTTCCTTTGCCTTACCGAGTTATGTTTTGGCACAAAAATATATCTGCTATGGCTTGGAGATACCCACAACCAAGAGCTTTAACGAAAGTGCGAGTATTTCCGGTTCCTTATAACATAACTCAAGATAGTAAAGAAAAAATATTATGTAATTTAGAGTATTGGTCTGAATGTCATGGTTCCTATCAACCATACACACAATTTTATTTATCGGAAAGTGAAATGTGCCAATTGGATTTACCGCAAAATAATCAACCGGTCGTAGCTAGTATTTGGAGGATTGTTTTGACATCGACAATAACAGATGCACGAAATCGGGTTAATTACACAAGAGTTTTATTATCACCGAGGGCTTTAGCTGGGTGTATTCGAGTTGATTCATATTTCAACAAAGTTTTAGTTCCCCAACTAACTTTATCTTTACATATTTCCACGATATCAATTAATTTATTTAACCGATTAGACAAAACGAAAAATTTAATTATGCCTGAACAATTAAAAAATTACACCCCTGACCAATTATTTCCTGAATTACAAAATTTTATGACGATAACTTTAGATAATACAAGAGTTTATTTAGCAACGTGGAATTTTGAGATATTTTCGATCGATTTAATTTCACATATAAAATGCACAATTCTCGATTATGCCTTTCTTACGATGCAACCTTTAATTTTGCCGTTTACATTTAAATTTGAGGCGTCAATTTCTAAATCAATTAATATTAATTTTATATCAAAACCGATTTCGATTAATTTAGGCGCAACAGCCGCTCATACTTTAGCAGTGAGTGGACAACTTTGGTACGAGTTTCTCACCAATGACGATAACTCAATGAATCTTATTGTTATGACTCAATACGTTGTTTGTAACGATACAAATGTAACGTTACGTTTTGGACAAGCCGGTTCTGAAGATATACTTTTATTACCGAGATATTGCCATTTATACGCGTGGAGATCACAGAAAAGTAAATTAATGCTACGAGTTGCCTTGGAAGAATACGGATGGGTTTGGTCTGAAGCTTTTAGAATCGATAGTGATGGTACTGCGGTGCTTAATATTTCAAAAGAAAATAATATTGTTGTTATAATGAGCGTAAGATCGTTATCGGCCACACAAAAAAAGATTACATTTTCGGGGCAATTATCTATTTGTAACACTTTATTGGAACACTTTGAATTAAAAGTTGTCGAAAACGTGATGAGCCAGAAAGACGCCGTTTTTAAATCCGCCCCTGTTCACATAATAAGCGGTAAAAGCACCCCACCAAGCATTTTAATCGACTCCACCAAAAAATATTTTTTGAGGCTAAGATTTTATGGATTAGATTCAGCTTGGTCTGGAGATATTCCATTAGCTGCAAATCCAAAATGCACCCAACCTTGGTTGGTTAAAGTCCCATTACAAGAACGGGGACAATTTTTAAGCATTTGGTGCCAAATTGAGACGCAACATTTCGAATCGGGTTGTAAGATCTTAGCGATTTTATCCCCGCTCTTTATGGTGCGATCAAATCTAGCTATAAACTCAAAAATTTTTATTGAAACCCCAATGTTACACGTTCACTTAGAATCAACCGTTCGGGGAAAAGGCGAATATCAACAATTATATTGCCCCGGAACGATCGATCATTCACACCAATTAACATTTCAACTCGATGATACCCCAACATCAAACCCATACGTACCATTAAATTACAGCCTTGTAGACCAAAAAGTATTCTTTAAAAAAAAAGATAAAGTGGATATCGACGAAATTTTAGACGTCTTAAACAATTACACTAAATCATCTTGGCCATATTTCGGGGAAGATTTCGAAGGAATCGATTTTTTAATTGAAGACCAACCGCTAACTCACGTCCAAGTAAAATACGAAAACGCCTGTCTTTATTCAAGCGCGCTTTTAATGGAGTTACTCCCATGGTGTTTATTATTGAACACAACAGGATGTCCGATTGCGATTATCGTCAACGAAAAAGAATTATGCAGAGTGAATCATTACGGAATTTGCACCCCACCGAAATTAGAAGAGACTTTCTATTTAGGAGTTGGAATAAACGGAATGTGGAATTTAACCCTACCTTTACAACTGGCAAAATCAAATTGGAGCACAGCTTTTTATATGCCGAAAATAAGCGGGAATATTCCGTTAGAAGGAAACATAAAAACGATGGTTAAATGCGAACCGTACGTTTGTATGATTTCGATTATTTCAAACGTTGAAAATACTATTAGATTATTAAGGGTTAGCTCAACTCACGTTGTTACAAACCATACTTCGTTAAACTTTCGGGGGGTTTGTTTTGCTGTACCTGTCACTGGAAGTGTTTACAATTTTCCGAAAAAAACTGAGCAACATTCGTTTAATGTGCCGTGTAATTTAAACACAAAATCTTCTGGTGTTTCAATTACGCAGTGGTACGTTATTGGAAAAACAATAGACCCTATGATTGAATACGTTTTATACATTTCTTTTTCAACGAATGGTAAATCCGGATGGAGCTGTCCAATTCGTGTTGATAAACCTTTTAACAGAAGAAGTATTAGCGTTAAAATGAACCAAAAAAGTGTAAGTACAAGTTATTTATTGAACTAAAACTACAAACATTCGGGATCTCTCCAGCCACTTTTAGTTCAGTTAATACAGGCTGTGAAAGCCTTCAACTTATATTAATTTGTCCACGACTACCTTATAATATACAGGGTGTTCCGGTGACTCGGGGCATAAAATTAACCTCATATAGTAGAGCAAAAATGATGACGATTCGTGAAAAAAAATTATTATAAAAGTCTTCAAATAGCCAAGATATGGGCCATCAAAGTTCAGAAATTTTAACACATTTTTCTAAATATTTTCAATACCATTTATGGTAGAGCGTTGAAATTTGGTAGAGGGTAAACAAATATCAAGCAAAATCATTGAACCAATTTTGACTTTGATCGTGCGGCGGCAACCATGCTATACAGGCTGTCCCTAAAATTTGTTTGCTCAGAACTTTTTTGTTCGCTCGTAACCCTACATTTATTTTTGTACTTTTTAATAGAAAATTTATTTTAGAAACTTTTATCACTCTTTGAAAATTTTGATAACATTGACTGTTTTCGAGTTATACGCGAAAATATTAAGCTTCAATTTCAATGGTAACACTAAAAAAAACGAAGTCTTCGAAAAAGTCAAGGTTGGCCATGGCAATAAAAAAAAACAACTTGCTGTCAACTTGCTTATGTCGTTTAAACACAAACGATAGTTCTGTTAGTTAGTTATTATTAATTTTAAGTGTTCAAAATGGAGAGTTACACATTTAGTGAACAAACTGACATGATTTTGACATTAGGGCAATGTTTGCATATTGCAGTCGCAGTGGGCAATTGGCCAGTGTGCGCATTTGGCATATTGCCAAATGCAGCACAAAATCCAAATTGATGATCAGTTTTTAGAAAAAGTACTTTTTACAGATGAATCCACTTTTTCTAAAGATGGAATCATCACTTTGAGAAATTTACATAGTTGGGCAGACGAAAATCCAAGATTTAAGAAAACTTGGAAATCACAATGGAGATTTTCTCATAACGTTTGGGCTGGCATTGTGGGCGATGTAATTATTGGACCCGTTTTCTTACCATCAAGGCTGGATGGACATAATACAGGCGACATTTAGAGAAATTAGATGATTTTTGAGATGATGTTCTTTTAAACACAAGGCAAGCAATGTGGTATATGCTTGATGGTGCTCCTGCGCATAACATACAGGCTGTCCAAGAATTTCTGAGGGGACGTTTCCGGGACGGTGGATTGAGTGAGGAGTAGGTGCACCCTGTAGATTTTTATTTATGGGAACGCGTTAAATCGCTAGTTTACTGCGTTGAAATAACTTCACTTGATCAACTGAGGTTGCGAATTGTTGATTCATTTGATCAACTTCGAACTGAGATCAATGGTCTCTGCAGAGTGCGCTTTAATTTAAGACGGCGATATCAGGCAGTGTTTTTGAACATCTGCTTTAGTATTTTTTTTTCCGGTCTTGGTTTTTGTATCTACCACACTTGTTTTTACTATTGCTCGCAGACGACTCCCCATCCGCTTTTGCACATGGCCTATACATTCTTTTGTCCACGACTACCTTATAATATATACGTTATGAATGAGTTTTCTAAAACAAAATGGTATTCATTTTTCACGGAGTGAATAATAGCGGTGAATAATAATCATTATTCACGGGTAGCCATCTTGACCAGACTAATAATAATTATTTGAAACGTTCAAAAGTTCAAAAAACGTCAATTTAATTCAATTTTTTAGGAGTTTCTAAATGTTTGACATTAAAAAAACCTAAACAAATTCCTTTTTTCGTATGATTTAAGCATAAATTAATTAATTTTCGTAACGAAAACGACGCACATACGTTGATTTTAACGATTTAAGCGGTCAATAGTTGAATTCAAAAAGTAATCATAATTACAAAGGAAATACACAAAGAGTGTGTAGACAGTTCCAGAAACAAAAGGTAACACCCTCTATACTATCCGTGGTAGTGTGTGGTTGCACATGTCATTAGAACCTGATCGCATTGCGTGTACGCGTTACAGTTTTCGGCGTTCTTTGCGT